AAATATCATTTTTAAGTTAACCAGTGTAGGAGGAAAATTTCAGGCTCCTACTGAAGTTTTAAGTAATAAATAAAAACTTCAGCTGTTAGGCCGAAGTTTTTTTAGTGCAATATGTTACTAACATATCACACATTAAATTAGAATTCAGTGAATTAATCAGAAAGCATTTTGAATTTTGGAGATGAATTTGATTTGAATATGGAATTTATATTCCTTCACTGAAATTCGTCAAACAACCAGAAAACATAAAATTCAAAAACTATTTTGAATTCTGGAGATGAATTTGAATACTTACAATGTATTTGAATTTGAATTTGAATACGAGACGCGTTCTCAGGAGGAACTGACTGATGGAGGAGATACGGAGGAGATCTGTAATTTGAATCTGTGAATACGGAGGAGAGACGCACTTTATATGTTTTGGAAGGGGTATAATGGTCATATTAACACGGATTTTCTATTAGTTGGTTACGAAATCAATAATTTTTAAAAACAGGGTATAGATTAAAAGGTGGCATAAAAAGTAGGTACCGCTGCAAATCCCCCAATGTATGCTTTCACTGCAGCTATTGTATCCTCAGGTTCAACCATTACGACAAAAGTTTTTTATTCTAAATCGCGATTTGCTGGACCATCTATACTGTCCCTAGGTCCAAACTTGGGTAAAAATGACTTTGGTAACGAACGCCATTTAATCACATCTCTGCAAGTGTCATCTCGAATTATGATTTGCATCTTTTGACTTAGTGACCATGGATCTATGACAGTAAACAAAAGATATAAGCTACTATTCCAATGAAATAAAACAACATACATTAAGTGAATTATCTTTGTCTTTTCAGACACAAATTATAGCATATAAATAACATCTAGGAAAAAATAACTAGAAAGCAACACAATCCCCTGCTGGATTACCCCCCCCCCAAACCCCCCCCCCCCCCCAAAAAACAAGAAGAAGAAAACGAAGAGGAGAAGGAGGAGGAGAAAGGGTGCTGAAATTGTTTAAAAAGTGGGTACAAGTTAAAAGTTTTTAAAAAATGAATATAGATTAAATGGGGGCGACCAAATAGGGCGCCCCGTGTAATTTTTACGATGTTCCATCTCAATGAAAAGAACTGTAGAACTTCTCTTAAGCATCAGCTGCTACTTTCAGCTCCAAGTGTTGGATTTTGAGCAATTCTTTTAGCAGTTTCCTTATTAACCTCTTTGATTTTCATGTCTAAAAAATTATAAAAATCCACTGTATCGTTCCTGTCAATAACCTTTTTTGGATCCACCATGCATGCAGATAGGAGCAATTCCATCTCCGTCTTATTATTCTCGACCCTTATCTTCCTTAGTTCTTCATCTACGGCAGCAATAGTTGAAAGGATAATCGTCTTCTCGTCCATATTAGTAATGCAAATTTCACATCCAAGCCTAACACTATTTATAGGTGAATGAAGTGAGGTATGACTAGAGTATTACCTAGTTATATAGATCATTTGTGATTTTTGCTATTTTTTTAAAGCTACTTTATAATTCTTTTTCTTGATATGTTACAATTGCTCCGATATTTTAAATCGACTAAAAAGGAATTGGGACGTCAAGACATTGGTAAAGAATGAACTCACAGTTCTTTCGCGGTGTTGACTACAATTTTAAAAGGAATGTTAATAGTGCAAATACCAATTTAGCTTCTATAAAAGTCGCAACAAATTTAAGACATAGAGATTTAAAAAATTCAAATAAGAAAATCTATTTTTTACTAATTATAACCACCACCTCACCGGTGGCGGAGGCAGGATCTCCGCGAAGGGGGTTCAAATATTTTTTTTGTAGATAGTGGGAATTGAACTTATGACCTTATGAAGGTTTTGAACCCCCTTTACCACTAAACTACACTTTTGGGTTGTGTTAAGGGGGTTCAAAACTTAATATATAGAGATAAAAACCAGATTTTGCCTTATATATACAGTGTAATTTTTCAGCGAAGAGGGTTCGGGTGAACCCCCTTTCGCCCCCCTAAATTCGCCCCTGCACCTCACAATCACTTTATAGTACGTCGTCTTGATATGGCCCGAAATTGACATATATTAAAGATTTTCCTACATAAACAGTGATAACTTATTGTAATTATTTGTGGATAAAAGTTATTTGAATGATATACACTTCGCCTATCAACTAAAGTGCACTGTGCACCCATTTGTTGGCTATTGATATTATTCTGGATTGGGAATTGCATTTCTCGAGCGTCTATCAAAAATAGCTTCTATACCCTCCTCAGATCCAATATTATAGCAATATATTGCGTATGTTATTAGAAGCAGATCCAGGATTTAGACATTGCGGGTATCACACTACTTTGAACATAGACGTGTTACTATTTATACGGTCCAAATAGAGTAAATATTAGTCGATTTGATCAACTTTGGGCTTTTTTGATCCTTTTTGTTTGTCCTACGATTTATACAGACAAATCAATTAAACAAAAAAAATATATAATAATTATGAAAACTAGAAGAAGGAAACTAAAAAATTTTAACTTTATATTATATATATTCCCGGATTTATGAACTGGATTCAATCAGCCTCACAACATAATTAGAGTGAGGCTTTAGCTAGTGGCAAACGCTTCTCCTAAGGCGACCCAAAACACAAAGTCTCTTCGCAACAAGTTGATTGACTTTTTTTATCCTTCAAAAGTTTTATATTGGATAAAATTATTATTTTTTTTTATAATTTAAAAATGAATTAAAATTATGGTTATTTATTTGAGGTACATAGAAGGTCCTAATATTTAGGACTTTAAATTCCAATAAGATTTTACCTTATATAAGTTATTTACTTTTAAACTATGTAACATAACAATAATACCTTTCATGTTAACAGTTAATTTTCCTAATATTTACGTTACTTCTAAGAAATCAGGATGAAAGTGACAACAAAAAATATGAATTACCTGATACTGATACTCCTACTAAAAGTATGAAGGTGTCCTGGATTAACCCAAAATTAAATTTAAAAAAAAGGAAGAAAGAAAGCTGCGAGGTATAACTTTAGGGTACTTTCATAGCCAAATTACAAATAGCGGACTCTGAAATTTAGGATTGGGCAAATCCCACGTTGTTTAGGAAACTTATGTACTTGATTTTAAACCCTCAAAGTCAACGGAAAAAGTCTTAAAAATAGACGGTATAATTTTAAAAAGTCCTAGACATGCAGCAAGCCAAAATATCTATGAAAAAAATGCTACAAGCAAGGTTTGATCCCTTCGCCATCAAGGAGAAAACTCTGCGCCTCAACCACGGGCACCGCTTCTATTTATCCTATTTCTTACATATATACACATATATACATAGAATTTTTACTGAAGCTTGCGGGTGGCATACCACCCCCTCGGGCCTCAATAGGCCCGCCCCTCATCTCTCTCGTTATTTGTCTCAGTTTGTCTTTACATTTCGACATCACTTAGTGAATCTGCGTACGCCCCTGCACACATGCGTGTGTTGGTGGTCAAGATGTTGCACTAGTACTAGAAGTTATTGCAAAGCTCACCTACTTTACAAAAGGCAAACACTTATGGCAGATCATAGCAGAACTTGGCTACATATTCGATATTTTCATCAAAATGTACTCACAAGTTAAGCCTCTGGTCTTGCAAAAGCTCCCAAGCACACAATCAATGTAGTTTGGCATGATACTCGTTGATACAAAATCTAAAGAATGAAGCATGCAAATGAACCAAAAAGAATTGTAACCCAAAGAGCGAGAGCAGAACGTATAATTAAATATAAGCTGCATGTCAGCATTTCAACTTCATAAACCAGAGAATGATATTTTAGCCTAACATCAGAGTTTTAACTCATGCAAAAACGGTGTAAGAAATTTTTACACTACCAAGTCAGTATTACCGGGTGTAATAGGTCATTTAACATATTTTGTAGGCTACCAATTTAAAAATGCTGTGTAAGGTTACTTGTAATTCGCTTAAATGACTTGATAGTGTAAATATTTACGCCATCAATGCATACAAGTAATACTGAATCAGTTTTGCTTAAAAAGTCGTGCATCACCACTGGTTTCTCGATGCTAGTTACACACTACATATTCTGATTTAAATCTAGCAAGAGCATCTAAAATCAATTTTGTACTACTTTTATTCGGTTTTTTAAACAGGAAAAGAAGGTTACTCACCGGGACAAGGAGTGAATATAGCTGGCAATTGGTCCCTGCAATACACTATTTGTAATATACGTACTATGCGCATCTATATGTCGATGTTGCCTTCTCTCCACAGCACAGAAGAATAATATACATATTACAACATCATAATTTCTTCAGCTATTCGTAGCTTCCCAAGAAAACTTGATGTATGCAGAGCTGCTATTTCCAGCAGATATCCCTTAACCCACTAATTTACGTTTACATATGCAACTCATATTAGAAAGATTGCTCCCCTATTCAAATACTCTAGTCAATGAACATATGCTCGTACGTATGCAATGAACTTCTTTCCTATCTACACAGGCCAGTTGCTTCAAAAACATATGCTCGTACATGGACAAATGATTTACCTATAGAGTCAAATTTGATATGTACTAGAAAGTTATGATGTGCCATGACTCACATTTACAACAATATTTATTGATTTGATTTTGCTTTCAACATGACAGGTCTACCAATTCTGACTACATCTTCAGAAAAGACAAGTCTTTCAGCTGAAGAAATTTGATATTAAGCAAATTGACACTACCTTATACAACATGATACAACTACACCAAAAAACAGAGTACGACCTAGATGTAATACTAAAAGAAAAGCTGATTTTGAATTCTGCAGTAGCAAAGCTCTTGTGAATTGCCATTAATATCTACATATGAAGAAGAATAGGATGTTGAGGATAAAATTACCATGTCTAAAGCACATGCATCTGAGCAAACTATTGCCTATATACTCTAGTGGAACTCTCTTCTTCAAATTAGTGATCTTTCTCTGAACACGTGCATTTCTTCTGATGTTCCATAAGCTCCTGCAGCATTAGATTTCTAAAATGAAACTCTTCCTTGGGTCTAATTGTGAGAATCCAGTGCTTACTCTTTTAACTACGCACTTCATTACGTCAGTAACTACCACTAATGATAATTAAATTATGTGACATAACTATACTAAAAGATCTCACAAATTAATAACTAAATGTATTCAATCAGAAGCTGGAAGTAATTTCTTGTTGCAGAAATATGAAACAAGACGGGTTAAGAAATCGCATGCAGCTGCCAATTCACTCACTTCTCTATGCTAATGTGCAGTAGCGAGGAGCCAACTGGTCGTTGTTGGTCTGAGGTTATCGGACACTTCATTTCTTTTTAGTCCAAATGACTTCTTTTTTGTCCAAGTTACTTTTCTTATTGTCTAATTCGCTACCTTTTACTGTGTGAGTTTCAGGATATTCAGTACTTAAGTGAATGCATGACTTACCTGAATCTGTTTCTGCAGAAACTTGACATATTCGACTGCTTCTTCCAACATGTCTGCGGTGTTGGTTTGCTGTGGATAGCAAAAGTCAGTGTCAATCATGAATTGCATGAACTACAATAAGAACAGCATAGTCAACTAGCAGTAAATCGGTCAATCTATTTCCAATTAGATGCACTATCGAGTGGTGCAAATTTGAGATATTTTTTACTTCCCCCCAAATCTGCTGAGAATTATATATCTACTATAGTTAAACCTTAGATTTACTTGTTCATTCCTAATAAAAATTCAATTTTTACACCCATAATGTCACATTATTGTAAAATAGCTTTTTTCGCGGGTTTGGGGGGGGGGTGG